AACTAGATTTAACTAATTGTCTAATATATAAGGTATACTTTATTTAATCAAGCTTTATTTCTTGATTCTGTAATTAGATTAAATAATTTTGGACTTATTAAAATTATTTTAAAAAAGTAAACATGATAATAATAAAATTATTTTTAAAACTTGTAAATTAGAAGTTATTTGCTTTTAAAATTTAACAAAAAAGGTGTAGTGACTTAGAGTAGTGGTTAAATTGTCATCTTTTAAGCAGTAAATCTAGAGTTTGAATTTTATCAGAGGTGTTTTTAGAAAAATAGATCTGTATATCAGTAACATTTATTCAACAATCAGTTAGTTATATCATCTGTGACCTTAGTATTACTATCTCGAAATAAAAGCTCTTGAGTAATCCAAATCTAAGAAATTAAAATAATTAAAACCTATTTGGCAAAACCTAAGCAAGAAAATAGTAAAGATCTTTAATGATACTGTAAGAACTGGATAAAAACTCTGAAGCAAGAAGGGTTTACCAATCTGATTGTTAGAATCATATTAGAGAAAAAGGTCCTATATTACAGAATTAAGAACTAAGGAAAGTAAAACTGAAAGGCACTTAAAGTCTAAATACAACAACTCATTCAGATTAACTAATTTAATAGTTTAGAAAGAATCAGTATAAAGACTAATTTGATACAGATATCAGAATCTAAACGAACCTTGTAAGGCTATAAATATTAGAATTAAATGATTTAATAATTAGCTCTAACTGTTAGTAGTGATTTTGGCTACTGCAGAAGATATTTGAAACCTAATCCGAAAATATATAGAATATAGAAAGATTAGAGTAATATATACTACACTTTCCCTAGAGTAATCTGATAGTATAAGAACTCTATTAGATTATTTATAGAATTAATATACAAGTAGTATAGCACATATTAATCTGGGTGGTTTTTAATTGAAGCAGTATGAGGTTATGGGCTAACATAATTGAGGTAGTGATACAAGATAAGAGACATCAAAGAGTTTAAATAGATAATCTTCTAGTTAGATTATAAATATAGCATATAGTGTAAAATCTTTAGCTAAACTACTTAAATAGGCAACTAAAAGTTGCATATATAGCTAAATATACTCTTATTAACTAAGAATATACTACTAAAATACCTAGCCTGTTTGTGACGTTGTGAAGATAAAAAAAAAAAATTTAAAAAAAAGCAAACTTTAAAAACCCTTAATTCAAATTTTAAAATTAAAGTATATGATCTATTTCTTAATCTATTATATTTTAAGACTTTATTAATAACAGTTTTTAAGCAACAACAACAGATAGTTTGAACTTCTAAGCCTTTAAAAAAAACCTTTATTTTATTTATTATTTTTAAAAAAATATCTAAATAGTGCATTAGTATATTTTGTATACTCTATAGAAAAACTAAGCTAACAATATAAATTATAATTAGATTAAAGTTTGAATTAAAATTAAGTTATGATTAGAGTAAAGTAAAATTGCAAGAGTAATATTTTTGTTTATATTACACAATAGGAATTATCTAGAAAAGTACTAAATCAGACTCTAATCACATCTATATAAAAGTTTATAATAAATAAGTTTAAAATCTTTCAACCTCTGAGATTTATAATTCATATAGTAGTATAGTATTACTAAGTCAGTATAACTTCCTGAACATAACCAGAATTGTTCTGGTCTTGTATAATAATATGCTAAAAGCAAGTATAATATAGTAGTATAGCATTACTAAGGTTGGTATAACTCCCTAAATATAATTAAAATTGTCTTGTATACTTGTGAAATACATTTTAAACTCTACTATAGCAGATAATACTTAAAGAATGGTGGAATATACTGAGCAATTGAACTGTAGCAGCAGAACTAGCTTAAGATATAGACTAGTAATACCTGAACAGAAATATAAAAAAAGATATCTGATAATAAAATACTAACTTTGTCATATAGTAAACCTAACTAAGTAGTAATTTCTGGCTTGAGATATAAGTTTCTGCAGATTCTAAATCAATGTTAAAATAACCTTAAAAGAAAAAATAACATAATATATCAAACTGGAAGATCATCAGAATCTATAGTCTGAATATTATTAATTTTGGAATTATATAAAAGTAAAAAGGTGAATAATGCAAGAAACATAGTTTAGTTAGATATAGTAGTTTCAGAATACAAGAGTAGCATCAGATACAAGTCTAATCCTCCTCACTAACAGGTGATTTAATAATAATATCTCTCTAAAGTAGGAGTTACTCTGACTGCTAGTATTAGTTTTGACTATAGCATGCTGATAATACAACTAGGATATATTTAGGTATTCATTAGGATAGCTAGATAAATGTTAGGTTGCTGATTGGGTTAATATAGCCTAGTAATAGGTTGTAATATAATTAAAAATTATATATATACTTTTGAATAGATTTAATAAAGGCTTCACTGGCTTTTCTAATCAAGTTTTTTTTTAAAAAAATTAGAGATTATCTAATGAAAATTCAAAATATTAGTAATTTTATAAGAAATTTTATAGAAAGGTATATAAAAAACATAGTGCATTGTCTATTCTTTTCTTATTTTTAATATATAGTATATTTAAAATTAAATAAAATAATATATAATTATTCAAAATAAATAAATATATACTATATTTAGTAAAAATAAGTACATAAAAAAAGATATATAGATGAGGTTAGTTAGAAGATAATACCTAAAATTGTATATACAGTCAATGCTATCTAATTGCATACTATCTGTCAAAGACTTTTTTTATGTATATAAACAGTATATGCATTTAAATTATAAAAATCATTTAGTATTAATGATTAAAAGCCAAAAATTTTTTATATACTTAAAGAGTATATGTAATTAAACAATATGCAATTAACAGTATCAACTGTATATTTATTGTTTGAAATGAAGTAACAAACTCTTATTTCTATGCATTATAATACAAAAATTACTTTTTTGATACATTAAATATTAAAATATTAAAAAAGTAATTTTGTATTTTCTGTTTGTCCACTTATATGATTTAAAATTACACAAAAATTTTAATTTTATTTTCATATCTACATATTATTAATCTATAAAAAAAGATAAATTTTTGTGCTACATTAAAAAAATATTTTGAACCTTATTTTTTATTCTACATTTTTATATATCATTAATCTATAAAAAAAGAGAAGTTTTTTTTGATACTACATTAAAAATAGAACCTTTTTTAAAACCTTATTTATTATTTAATGTTTATAAATTTTATATAGTTAGTCAATCATTTTTTGTGATATTTTGACAACTACTAAATCATTTTAATAATCTTATTATTATTAAATACATTTTGATGAGCTTTACAATTTTTACTTAAGCCAGAAGAGTAATTAACTTAATAAGAAAAAGGTTTTTCTTAGGTGGCAAATTACTAATTAAATAAGTTCTAAATATATAATGCTTTGCATTTACCTAGTATACAATATATTTTTATCAAAATATACTATAACTGGGGTTCCTAAAAATATTAATAATTCTAAAAATATATTTAATAAAAATAATAAGCTAAAAAAAGCTAGCAACTAAAAAAAAATAATTTTGTATAGTTCAATAAACTGTACAATATTTTTTATTTTAGAAAATATAAAACAAAAAGCTTGTTTAAAGCTAATAATAATTTTAACAAAATTAGTTTAACCTTTAGCAATAATATTTTTAATTATCATTTTTTTTTATTTTATTAATTGCTTGCTTAATATTATATATATAGCAATTTTGCTTCTAAGTAAAATTGAATTGTTAATGTTTACAGTAAAAGGTAATGCTCTACTAAACCTAATAAAAGAATATATTTGTTATAAGTAAAATGGTAAAACGTTGCGATTTAGAAAAAGTATTGAAAACTGTATAAATGGTTACCCGGGAAATTGATTTACATTAGCCAATCAGACGAATGTCCATACTAATCTGCTACTGTATATATAATCAGACTGATCTGGTCAGGTCACATACGTACGTACGTACAGTACGTAAAAATTGGAAATCAGACATTGCTTTCATGCGAAAAATGTAACCCGTGCCGAAATTATCCGAATCTTAATTTTGATTTCCGTCAGCAGATTCCATATAGTCGGTGTTCCAGCTGCAGAAAAGTTTTCCAATAAGTTACTGACGTTGTCTAATGCCGAAGTGTCAATTTATAGAAACCGGATCTAACAATTACATACGTATATAGATCTCTACAATTTTCGCATAACATGCTTGTAGCGTTTATTTCATACTATATACCATATGATGACGGGCTCTAATACTAGTATTCAATATAATAGGAAGTTCTATTCGTTTAAAAAATTTTCACTATCGCTATCATGAAAGATGATCTATTATTATTATGATGGGGAAATCGCATATCCTAAAATGTACAAACATAATGCCTTTATAATAAAAGGACAAACTTTATATGCTTGTTATATAAGTAAGCCAAACATCGTGCAGTTGTTCGAATTACAGTTTTTAGTGATCATATTAAAACCTGATAAATTCACTGATTGTTGTTGAAATGGGACAAAGAGTTGATAAATCAATAGAGCAGACGACTTGCATCTATGTATGTTATAATTAAATCTGTTTCACTGGTTTATTTATGCGGTTTTAAAAATAATTATTGTATATATTCTATAACGATAACTGGTATCCATGTTGTACAAATAAATTATCGATTTTCGATATTTAATCATCGAATTGATATCACTATTTTATCACTATTCTTTTAGAATGAATTATTTTAGGAAAAAATGCGATTTGTTATCACGACCGGGGATTTTCGTTATCGTCTCGAGAGCTGTAATTTCACTCGGACCAATTAGATTCAATCATGTTATTAAGACTAAGATTTATATATACGTGTATATATATTCATGATTTTGGTATCACATGACGCGCTTGAAAAAATGCATCGTGATTAAAATTGAAGCCTCAAATCAATATAAGACATAAGTAAAAGGTGTAAAAATAAAAGAACTTTCTATTGATGATAAAATTCTTGATGATTAAAAGGTTTATTAAGAAATTCGATCTTAATTCCAAAAATTAACAGTAACATTTTAATATGTAATGGTGACGCTTCCGCCTGGTCTTCACCTGGCTTCCACACAGAAATTATAATTATATTGGTTTATTTAAATTAGATTAACTCGGTATAAGGTTGCTCAGTCGGCACCAGCCCAGAGAACAAAACTGACTAACTTAATTCGTGAGCTGGGCCGTGCCAGCCGTTTGCATCTCTATCTGCTGCTAATTCATCGACCATTTCCTCACTTACGGAATCTAGTTCATCACCAACATAGTCCGAATTTATTCCGCCAGCATATATAAACATCTCCTTTTCATAACGTTGCCTTTCTTGCTTGTACATGTCATAGTATTTCTACTTATGCACAATCAAATTAAAAAATGTTGACTAATTTTTGACTAATTTTGAAAAAAAAAAAAAACAAAATGAACGAAAGAGAAATGAACAAACCCCTTTTTCCTCCGGTGGTAGTTCTTTCCATCGTTGGCTCAGGATTCGAGTAACGTCTTGAAACCCTTTGTTTTGATTTTCCTCTCTCGCTTGTTCACGTTGCATTTGACAATACATTAAGAAAGCATTTCTTGGTCGTTTAGGCGCGTTAGGGTCCCTATTTTGTCTTCTACGTTTGCCTGTACGTTGGTCTTCGAGTAACTCTTCCTGCTAAGTTTATGATTATTTATTTAATTTTATTTGTGAAATGGCATATATCAAGTATACATGATTTGATCAATATATTATTTAATGAATATATATATATATTTGACCCATATTAGGAAAAAAAAAAGGAAAGAGAAAATTAAATGATGACCCACAAAAGTAAATAAAATATATATATGTTTTTTTTTGTTTTTTTTTTTTTTGTTCATCCGCATTTTGTTTATTGGTTTTGTAAGGAATTAGAAAAAAGGATCGGTGGAATTAAAAGTGAGGAATAGATAATACAACAGCAAAGGTAAGGAAAATAATAACAGAAGGGTAAATAAGAGTTAGATACAATGAATAAAAGAATACAAATATATAAAGCGCAAGTACGAATGTCGATTTCCCTTTCTTGTCAATAAATTGTCGTAAGAGCTCTGATCCCTCTTTGAACGCGCCAAATTTAGCTTTATAAGCAGTTTTAATGAAACTTTTTGCCGCGAATTCGCAAAGGTTGCTTATTACTGAATCATTGTCTCATTGACGTAGTTTGTGAACCATTATCATCATTATCATCACTACCCACCGAAGATAATTCCTCCTCAGAATCTATCACTCTTTGTGGCGAAGATGATGGCTCTGATTCAGACTCATTCGTGGGTTGTGACTGTTCTAACCGATCGAACAGAAAACTATAAACGAGATAGCTGTTAACACAATGTAAACGATATTTAATTTTTATCAAAGGAATATACCTTCGTTCTATCTTCAATCGTTGTATATTCTTTTTTGCTTTAGTTAATTTGAGAGTCAATTTTTCATTTTCCTGTAATCAATTAATTTTATCATTTTATATTTAATTTCCAGAAAAATAAAGAAATGGCATTTTTATTACATCCATCCTTCCCATAAAATAAAACGGTATACCTCTTCCATTTCCCGGATCTTTTTTTTAAGCTCTCTGTATTTCCTCTTATATTTCATCTCTGCAAACATTAACGCATTAATGTTAATTCTATTAGTTGACAAGTAATGAACAGATTAGCATTTAATGTGCATGAAAATTACCATCGGAAGCGGAAATTCCCTTGAACGCAGGTTGCTTTTGTCTTGACTTATTATAAATGTAAACATACATATTAGTTATGTTTGAATATAATACAATGCCTATAAAATCTATATTATTTCTTACCTTTGATGACATTTCGTCAGCTGTTGATAAGGTAACCGGAAAAGGTTCTGCGAATCGTTCAACACTATAGGACACTTTTAGATCGGAACCAGAAATCAAATCAACCGTTTTAATAAAAAGAACCAAAAGTTTAGTAATTATTTTTTGATATAAAGTATAGTGAATAACGGATAAGATATTGTCCGATAGTTGCTTATCAACAGAGACTCCTAGCGGTAAGAATTCCGATGAAGGACGATAAACTGCGCGAAAACGAAAAAGTTTATAACGATTATAACTGAACGAATCAAGTCCGATAACTTCTGAATGACAACACGTTATATTCAGACGACCATGTGGTGGCTTTGCTAATTGTGGGGGTCGTCTAAAGCCGTGTCCATCACGTGACCTAAAGCCAATAGAATTGTTTATTTTGATCGACACGGATCAGC